ACCCACCAAGGCCCACCACCCCCCGTCTCGGCAGTCTGAATCCCACCCAAGGAGCAAGGTCAGTGCAGATGCCACCTCCTCTTAGCCCTCCCTCCTCTCAGTGCCAATGGTCCTTATCTGAATCTCACAGTGTTAATTTTTACTTTATATTAACATTAGGGCCCTGGAGGCACAGTAGTTAAGACCTACGGCTGCTAACCCATAGGTCGGCAGTTCAAATCCACCACCCACTCCTTGGAAATCCTACAGGGTAATTCTACTCTGTCCTATAGGGTCGCTATGAGTCGGAATTGACTCGACAGCAAAGGGTTTTTTTTTTATATTAACGTTATCATGAATACATTTTTTCTCTCATAATGGACAAGTTCCCTGCAGGTAGAATCATGTCTTGTTCACTTTCACATGCCCATAATTCCTAGAACAGAGCCCTGGATCAATCAGGTGCTTGAAAAGCATCAGCTAAAGAAATGAATGCCTCCACCACCACCACCACCATACAATCATTCATTTGCGGAGCACCACACAGGCAGAGGGGGCAGGCTCCACCCTCAAGGAGGGCTGGCCCACTCAAGACCCCTACACTTTAAGCCCCTGGGGCCTGCCCTCGACCAGCCCATCATCAGAGGACACCCTCAGCCTCTGTCGTGGAGACACGCAAAACACCAGGAAGGAAAGAGGAGCAGCTAAAACAGGTGCTTGGAATCCAGCTGCCCGGGTTCCAGTCTTGAGCCACCACCCACGAGCTGTGTGGCCTTGGGCAAGTTATTTATCCTCTCTGCACCTCGGTTTCCTCCTCTGTAAAATGGAAGAATAAGTGTCCCTCCCTCACAGGCTGGCGTGGGGCTGAGTTAAGACCTAGCACAGGTAAGAACTTTAAAAGTTAACCGTGCTCATCATCTGGGTTCTCATCAGGGCTGGATCCTCCTCTCACCCTCCTCGCTTCCTCCAAGGCTTTCACAACGGGATGTATAAGGGCTGTCTGACCCCAGGAACACCCATGTCCACACAGGACAACGGAATCAACGTTCACCCAGAATTTCCCAGACACGCTGACCACACTGACCATCCTGGCATCCAAGGCCTGGCAGAGCTTGGTCCAGGCCACCACCCACTCTTCCTCCACAGCCTCTGAAGTTGCCCCTCCCAGGAGACCTTTTCCCAGATTTGGGGGCTAGCCAGGGAGACAGCCCATGCTTACCCTGTGCCCATCCTTCTGCAGTGTCTGGAGGACCTGCCCGAAACCCGAGAGACTGGGCTGCCCCATGCCAAACACAGGAAGCCCACCCCGAACCTGCCGGAAGTTGGGGGCCCCACAGCTGCCCACGGTGCCCAGCACATCCATCTTGTCAGCAACGTCACGCACCATGAAGTAGCGGCCCTGGCAGGGAGGAGAGCCACAGGACATCATTCAGATGGCTCCAGGGGCATGGTCTACAGGCTGGGCTCTGTCTCAGGCCCCAGGGTGGGGAGCGATAGATGGGGCAGGGGGCATGGTCTTGCCCTCAAGCTGCCTGCAGTCTCACGGAGAAAACAGACAAAATATGTGGCCAACTGTGATCAGTGGAAGAGTGTCACAGAGTGCCAGGGAGAGGAAAGAAAACTCCTGAGGGGAAATCAGAGAAGGCTTCGTGTAGGAGGTAACATCCCCTATGGAAGAGCCAGGCCCATGGAAAACAGCAAGAAGAGGTACTCTAAGGGGCAGGAAACCAAAGCTGGCTCCAGGGTGGGGCCCGCAGCCCCCCAGGGGGGAAGGCAAATGTCTCTCACCCCAGGGGAAGCTCAAGAGGAAGGGGCCGGAGTAGGGAGTCACAGCTGGGGCACCAGGAGTAAACCAGAGAAAAACTGTGCCAGCCCCTTCCTTAGGGACAGTTCTGAGGACGGGCAGGGGGAGGTGGGGTGCTCTCCCCTTCCCAGGCTGGGGTGAAGGGCCGCAATGACTACAGAAAAAACAAGAAACCACGGGGCAGATGGCCGGGCAATAACAGAGGGAACCAAGAGTTCATTCCTGGGCAAAAAGGAGCCCCAAGGTCATCTAGTCCATCCCCCTGCCTCCGCAGGACTCGCACCTACACAGCCTGACAGACAGGAAGCGGGACCAGTTCTTCCAGAAGAACCTGAGATTCCCAGGGATCTTTCAACAAGTATAGATTCATCATCATGATTATTCATTGAGTCTCGTTCCTTGGATATTTATCTAGCACCTATGTTGTAGCCAAGCACTAAGCCCTGGGACTACAGTAATAAACAAGATAGATTAAAAAACGCCTGTCCTCACAAACTTTACTTTCTAGAGGACATTTAAGGCAAAAAAAAACTAAACAAAACAAAACAAATCATCTAAGTCACACAACCTGTTTTCCGCAAGAGAATGGAGGGAGATTCCAAGCCTGGGGGAAGCAAAGGCTGGGGTCCCTGGGGCCGTGGGGGG